ATCTTGTTATCATTACTTCCATCAGTACTTAGAAAAATGATGTACTGCACAACTGATTTATAATATCAGCAACAGTTTTTCTGCAAGCGTTTTCACAATGCAGCAGTTTTGGTATGACCGCTCTAAATTTTTTTGCTAGGCAGAATCCCAAACATTGCTTTGAACGCTTTGGAATGATCCGAAACAGAAAGCGGTAGATTATGTTCAATAAAAAACGAACAAATAGCATTCTACTTTATAGGATCTGTTTCATCATCTTTTATTAAGAATTTGTTATTTCTTTAGATTTTACGGTGCCAATTCTATATGCTTTTTGGAAAACACATGCCGTTTACAGTCATCTTTTCCGCCATAAAAACTGAGAAGTCTTTGTGCACACTGCAGTGTGCGTAATTCACAGAAATTTCGACGCTTAAATGCATGGAAATTCTGAAAATATGAATCTTAAACTTCTGCTTTGATAATTTTGGCTCCTTCGTGGAGGCAGCAGTATGATTAAAAATCTTTCACCTGGCCATTCACAAGAAAACCGCTAAGCTCTCGCCAAACTACATAACACAGCAGCGAATGCAGGCCTAAACACGCATCAGCGAGGACTGGGAGACAGACAATTTGGGTGGAAATATTGATAAGTTCGTTAAGGTTGGAGTTACTGATCTACGATTGGCTAATTCTTCAAACTAGGAACACACTCAAACACGTGATATATATTAACACAGTATTCAGCCAATCATCGATGAATTAGTTGGTTCCGTTTTGCGTACTGGTTCTCCTGCTCTTGTTCTGTAAAACCCAGTTTTTTCCATACTTTTCGTAGCTCGTAGTTTTTCATGAATTTCCGTAGAAACTACGGAGAATCCGTAGTAGTTGGAGTCTATGCACAGATGTCTGCATGAAATAATCACAAAATAAACAAGCAAGCAAATTTCAATAACCCATATATCAAAAACTATCTAACACAGCAGGGCCCTTTCCTATATATTTTTATGCCAGAAAAGTTTCCCCACAAAGATGTCTATTTGTGGTAAAAGGGATAACCCTGATCATAATGAGTTGCAATTTGAACAAAGGATCACTACATTAGACATTCATCAACAAATATTGATTCATTCAAAAAATATATCATACAAGCAAAGTATACAAAAACAAAATATACAAAGTAATTCAATATCTTCATAACATATACAGATGCCAAGTCACGTAAGTAATATAAAAAAGGAAATACTTCAAACTACAAATATGTGACTAAATTATATACAAATGATTAGTACATATACAAAATTCAAGTTTCAATAAAATGATGGTTGCGGCTAGATTCTGGCGCTTGGTTAAGGAAGATGTTTCTAGTGGTTCACGAGGTAGTGGCTGGGTGGTGCAAGGCACCTGGCTTTGAGCTCTTGGGGCTCCTTGATGGGTGTCCTTTCTCTTAACATTAGTTAGTCTTTACAGAAAACAGTCTAAACACAGGGGTACTATTTTTTCAAGCAGGAAACAAAAATGTACATACAAAATGGTACTAAAATATTTACAACTAATTCATAATGGTTTAGAATATGTGCATCAAAATATATGAATACTTAGAGTAAATGGTTGATCTTTACAATATGGTAACTGGTAGTTTGGTGACATTTTGGAGGCGATAAAGGTACTACTGACTTTGGTAATATTGAACAGTACTAACTTCCGATAGCATTATTTGTGTGGGGGAAATGAAGATCATGGGATATGTCATGTGATATAATGGACGAATTACGGTTCTTAATCGGAAAAGGGGGGAATTTGGACAAGTATCTTGGATGTATATTATTTGTATTAAGCTTCAATTGTGTGTTGTGTGAAGGGGTTGATAGTTTGGGATTGTATGGCTCTGTCTAAAGTGATGTGCTGTGGTAAAGGAATTTTTTTTTATCAAAGCGAAAAAAATCGTTCAGTAATTTTATTGAATCCATAATAAAATGATCCACCATGAAGGTGAAGATCGGAGAAATTAGGTTAGTTAACTTGTTAAAATTGAGTAGTATCAGTTTGATTACGCATATTTTGTGTGAGGGAATGAAGATCATGGATAGTTAGTGATTAATGGGACGAATTATTGTTCTTTAATCGGAAAAATCTGGAATTTTGTATTTGGCTTATTCTGTGTGTTGAACATGTTGGTTAATTTTGGATCCCATGGGCCATAATAAAGTGAATTGAAATGGGTATTAGTGGTATTGAAAAGATATATAAATGTTTGTTTAAGTTGTGCGATAGAATAAAGAGTTTATTAATTATCATTTTACCTGGTACCTTGCTGTGAATATACGTATATTTTAAAGATCCTGAAACAGAAAGCAGAAGGTTTATCGGCACGCAATCAAGATCTGAAAGACGATTAGGTAGTTAGTATTTTAATTGATTGAGGATATTCTTTTATGCATTTTCTAAATGTAGGTGAAGGAATTTGGATTATTAGAAAAATTGTATTAGCCAATTTAGTTTAAGTAATTAGTATTGTACAGGTAATTTATTAATTTAATGTAGTGCTCATTTTATTTAAGTAGGTTTTTGACTTAAATATTTATTAAATGATAGTATTTTTTGTGATTTTATGTTTGTAGGAATTGGGGTAGACGTTTTAGTTGAAGTAAATGTGCATGAAAAATTTAATATCTGACACTAAGTATTTGAATGGTTGCGGTATGATTCGTTGGTGACGTTATAATAATAGATATTTCGAGGTAAGTTTTTGGATCTTTATTTCTTTTATATGTGAATGTTCAATTTGGAAAGGTAATACTTTTTTCTTTTTCGGGTAACTTCATATATTGCTTTTCCAGGTTTAAAAGGGAGAAAATGTCATTATTTTCGTGAAATTTTCTAATTATGAGCAAAGCATGTACATGGAGATATTGAGAGGTGCGCAATGCATTTTGTGCATTCTGGATGTTTTTTTAAGTCAAATAAGTCGACTGTACTGGTTTCGTGATCTTTTAATTAAATTATATTATTTTGTGATTTATGTTTGTCGGATTTGTATACGATAACGTGAAGTAAACGTGCATGGAAATAATTAAATATTGATACTAGTCTTTGTAATGCTGCGTAAGGATTCTTGGTGACGTGTAATGTTACTAGATGATTTAGAGGTAAAAGTTTTTGGATTTTTTATTATTTTATATGTGGGAGGTTTTCAGATTGGAAGGGTAATACTTTTTTCCAGATCAGTAATTCATCTTGTTCTTTTACCGGGTTTAAAGCTTGAGAAAACTCTCATTATTTTCGTGAATTTTTCTAATTAAGAGAAAAAAAGGAGTGTACATGGATATAGTGAGAGTGTGTCATGCCATTTTTTGTGAATTCTGGAGTTTTTAAGTAAAAAAATCGTCGGCGTGTCATGGTTTATGTGACGTAAAACGCGTAAGGAGGATGGTATTGTCACTTTTTCCAATTTTGCAGTGAATATTGTCATGATTAACATTTTTGTTTATAAATTTCTAGCCTAAGGTAAATCGGCTAGTAGATTGTGGAAGAAGTGTTCAGTAGATAAAAAGAAAACATGTCTTACTTCGTGAAGACAAATGGCGCGGGGGAACAAAACTAGAGGGTTGCTGTAGGAGAGTTGTTGCCAAATTTTTCGGCCAAAATCGCCAAGTTACCATAATGTAAAGATCAACCAGAGTAAATACTGAAAAAAAGAAATCCTTGGGGCTAAGTAAAGAAAAAATATACCTTCTAGTTTATGTCACTACCACAAAAGCCTCTGTCAACATTTACAATTTGCACATAACAAATTTCTTAATTAAGTTTGCCAATTTTGACTAAGGGAGGTGGTCACTTTAACCCTGGTACCATAAAAATATCTAAGGCAAAGGAACTAAGGCAATAAAAAGGTCTAAAGAACCTTTCACCATAAAAATCAAAATTTCAAAAATATGAAATTTTCCTCCTTAGTGCCCCCCCCCAAAAAAAAATAATCAATTGTAATTTAATATGATACCGGATTTCATATTCAAAATTAATTACATCTCTACTATACGTTTTGAATTTCGAAAACTTTTAAGGATTTAAATGAATACCCCCCTTCCGTATTTAAGAGATGCACGGTTTATATTCCATGTGTATAGTAATATGATTTATTAATGCAAAAGTAATCCTTTATTAGATTATAAATATTCTTTAAAATAAGGCGAGTTATTCAAAATTATCGAAACGTCACACAACGTACTGCAGAGAAAGGTACCCCCGGCCAGTAAGGATGCTTTATCGCCAAATATGGTTCCAAAGTCATAGCTCAAAATCGTTTAATGTTGTACCCCTATGTGACGACCTTGCATACTACAAATAAATTATTTTGATAACTGTGAAAAATTTATATTTTGATAAACATAATTTGATATTTCGAACGAAGAAAAGTTTTGTCTGTACTACAACACCATTGCGTTTCTTTTAAACTGTACGTCAAGACGATAACAAAAATTTCAAATTCAATTTACACACGTTGTCACTCACAATATGCAGATCAGAAATTAAAATCAGAAACTTTTTCTTAATTATTTTACATCAGGATAATAATATTAAATCATTTGCCTTAATTCAACAATACGGAATGAACACTAACGAGAACCTATCCGAAAAGTTCAAACCAGACACGTTTGGCGGTATTTGACGTTCTCTTGCAGTTGGCGGGAAAAGGGGACCACATATTGCAGTCGTAGTCTATAGATGTTTTATAATTTGAAATTGATATTTTTTTCACCTGTATGGAAAAGTGTACGTTATTCAATTTTCAAAATGTACAGCAATTTCATTTAGAGCAATGATGAAATTCAGAGCAACAAATTTTGTTTTTTTATGCAAATTGAGTAACTGATTCAAAAAACTAGTTAATAATTTTACATCAAAGAAAATATTAATGCATATTTTCCACTAGACCTAAACAATAATAAAACTAACATAGTTTACAACGGTTAGGAAAGATCCTAACAATCAAAAAAAAAAAAAAAAGGGGGTGTACTTACATTACTTTCTAAAGTAACGAAGATCTTGAAACCTTGTCATCTGCTTTATGTAACATTTCTCCAGGGTTGCTTTAGAATTGGCGCTATTTGGCCTGGCGAAGTGCCGTTGTTTTGATCAAAGAATATGTAGATATATTAAAGAACCTTGGACATAGACATTCTTTGGTTTTGATCGAATGGCAAAGAACAAATACGATAAGAAGTTTTATCAGGATTCTACGTTACGAGATGTTGCTACTAGTTGAAGTGTGCCCTCGTTACCGACTAACAGGTTCGTATTTCTAAACCCTGTCCCACTTTTCGAATTTTTAACGTCATACAAATATCCAGAGGCCACGTAAGCCTCGAATATCCGCTGCTTCATATAACTTTGGTTTCACCTAGTAAACAGAAGTCGACGTATCCCACTTAACGTTACGTTAGAATGAGTAGCGGGTCCCATTAGAATTTATCTGTGCTGATGGAGTCGCTTTTGTGTTGAGTAGCTCCATGATACTGTGCTAATGGAATCGGTTCTGTGTCGAGTAGCTTCGTGATACATAGTAGCTTCAGATTTTTCAACGCGCTCCACTAGGAAGAAAATTATTTCTTGAGCAGCGTCGCCCGTGTCCTCCGTGCTTGTGTCAGGTATATGCTGTAGCTAAGGTAAAACATAGTGTGAACAGCATTTAACATCAAAATATGTGCTGTTGTTTACAGAGATGTTTTTTTTTTTTTTTTTTTTTTTTTGTTTGTTTGTTTGTTTTCTTATGACTGGAAATTTAAGCGAAATCTTGAATAAATGGATAACGCTTATCGGTGTACAAACAAAGAATATGTATTGACTTTCTTTGGTACATATTTAGTTGCTGCGTTTGAAGGAACAGCAGAGGCACAAATCAGTAGTGAGTTGAAAATATACAAGTATGAAAAGTCTTAAAGTAGTACATGCTATGCATTCGTCGGAAAATTCATTAAAACAAACTGGATTGTTGGCAGACTTATCCAGATCTTAAGTCACTATACAAAAAAATTCTACCTTTACAAACGCAGTGATTTTAGCAAAAAAACTTCAGATAGAATCAGATCAAGGAATCGGAATTGCAGTGCATTTGTAGGTAAAAAGTATGAAACATTCTCAAAATTTTTCTCCTAAAAACAAAACAAATAGATTAATACATTTTAATGCTTCGTTTAGTGTATATATTTTTAAATTTTTAGACTAACTTGTACAGTTGTTTGATTGTTTTAAAAATGTCTTCATAACTGTGTGAATAAATTTTGTTTGATAAAAGCTAAACTACTTTTAGTTATTTGTTATATATGAAATTTTTTTCTGACTTATTTAACATAGTTATCAGAAATCTTTGTTAAACATCTTAAGAATGTCTATAAATGGTTTCACGAAGGAAGGAAAATAAACCCTTATATCTCAGTGTAAGCATTTCATTGTTTTCAAATTTCTGCATTTAGTGGTACAAAAATTGCATTTAATGGATATGTGTACACATTTTTGGTGATATCAACACAATTGTGTTTAAAAGTAGAGAAAAAGGCAGATAGTTGAACATGTAAGAAGTGTTATTTATGCTAGAAAAATTAAAGGAATGGGAGAAGAAATTTCTGGTCTAAAATTGTAAGAACAGTAATATTATTTGTTATCAGCCTGGTTATCGGAAGTCTCTACATGATAAAATGTAAAATGTTGAAGTAAAATTGTGACATTGATCTTTGGAATATGTGCTTGGTAATTTCGATGCTTTTAGTGACAGCTTTTATAACAAAAATTGTTAGTTGATAGTTTGAAGATGATCAGCAATTTGAAACCACTCTTTATTAATTTAATAATGTATGTGGTACTATTCTTTTATCAGGACCGCATCTCCAGAAATATATATATATGTATGCATGTATGTATCGATGTATGTGTTCATGTATATGTGTATGCAAATATTTATCTGTGTGTACACACATACATACACTTCCAAATCTGCTCCTGATAACACAAGAGATTCAACCATACATTTTACATAATTTAATTTGCTTTGAACCATTTTAATGTTTACATTATGAATTTCCCAGTTTTATTTTTAATGAAGATTCCATAGATGCAAGTTTAGAGATCAAAAGAGAACTTGTTTTATATTTTAATTTATTCATTTTAAAGTTAATTATTTTATGTGTACATATAAACACACAAAAAAAATTATAAAAAATAAATAATTATATAATTATATTTTTTCTTTATAATTTTTTTATAATAATAAATTATATAAAATATATGCATATATATAATGTATTGGATTCACCTTACTTATGTATAATAAATAACATTTGCAAATTCAATGCCCATTACCTTAAAAAAATCTTGAAATTGTCTATGATTAAGTCCTTTTGCTCTTATAAAGTTAATGGTTTTTGTAACAATGCTTAATACACTTTCCGTTTTTAAAATTTTCCACATCAATTTCCCTGATGTACAGTACAATTTTATGCCATTAAAATCATACTGCCGGCAATGACGACTTCATTATTAACCAGTTTAGAGGCCCCCTTTTTTGCAAACCATGGCAGGGGCTCCATTGGTTATGATAGCTGATAAATTTTTCATAAATAAGGAAAACCTTTTCATCATTGCTTTTAATACATCGAATAAATCTACAGACTTTGTTGTGTCTTTTAATGATAAAGCAAACATTTCTTTCGTGATCTTATAATGTTCATCGATTCCTCTGATGATGCAGTATAAGAAGCGTTAGTACTTTCATCCATGGCTAATGAATAAAATTTTAAATTTGATGCATTTGCTTTTAAAGATTTTTCAACTGAATTCCCCAACTCTTCAATTCCTGTGGTTGTAAATTGGTGTAAAAACTGATTTTAGAAAAATCCAACTTTTTTTAGGGCAAACTATGTTTGCTACATACATTTTTCATACATTCTTTTATAAATTCTCCATCAATAAAGGGTTTTGATTTCTTCGCTATTAAATTTGCTATGACATAACTTGCTTTTGCAATGCTGTTATTTTGAGTAGCTGTCTTTTTTTAAAAAATTTTGTTCAGGCGATTGTCCTTTTTTTAGTTCTGTTATTTTATCTTTATGGCAAAGGCCGAGATATACATCATATTATGCTGCATGCTTTTGACTATAATGTCATTTCAAATTGTAGTGTTTTAAAAAATTTAAATTTATTTTTCCGGAATAAATTTATATACCCCATGTTAATTCATTAAGACTATTTAACTGTAAGATTACATCATTTTTTCTCTTCTTGGCGCCTTGCATGGCGCAGATGTTCATTACAGCAACCCTGTAAACGCTTACTCAGTTTTTTTATTGCTGTTGTTGTTAGTAGTAAGTCATCGCTTGAAAGATGGCACGCATTTGATTAAAGTTGTTGAATAAAATATTTAGTACAGTCCACTTCTAGTTAATTTGAAATTGTTGTATAACAACGCACGCATCGCATGAACACCCCATACTTCAGTAAGCTTTAGTACATGGGTGTCTAAAGTGTGGCCCAAAAGCAAATTATGAAAGTATTTAAATTTACACACTTTTATTAAAAATTAAATGATTGAATTTGATTCATATATAATCGATTCATTGACATTTACTTTAAAAATAAAAATTTTAATAAAAACATTTTCATATATCATAATGTATTAAAATTCCTCCGCGTACGGCTCCTGCGATTTCCACGGATGCAAAATCTGTCTCCTAATACGGGTCACGTGAAAATAGCATGTGCAAGTTTATTTATCTTCAATACAGATCCCACTTTTTCTCCATATGGCATAAAGTCCATACAAATTAAGCAAAGTGCTTTACTATTCTCCTCAATAAAAAAGTATTTCTCCATCCCAGTTTTCATTAAAACCTTTTTTTTTTAAATCTTCAATTTTTCTTTTTTTGTTTTCTGTTTGTTTTTGTAATGACATGGAGGCCATCTAAAACAAATCATGAATTTTAATTTTATAAACAAATATCCATAATGAGTATGAATTATTCATATCTTTTTAAGAATTTGATACAAGAATTAAGAACTTAATATATACAATGCAATATATTGCATACAAATATTGTAATTCGTCAAAAATCTGTATATGTGTTTAAATTTTTTTTAAGTTTAATGATGGCAAAAAGACAATTAATAGTTGATTATTTTTGGAAATATAAAATCGAGTGGATACACACATAATTCAAAACATAAATTACTTATTATTATTGCTTATAAACCTGAAATTCTGGTCCCGCAAATGACAAAGACGGTTGCCGGCAAGAATGAAAGAAGCAATAGTACTCCCTTACAATGATATAAACCTGTAGCATCATTCTAGGTGCAAAACGAGACATGAAATATGAATATTATAATATTCTTAGTCTACACTCGTTTTGCACCTAGATGGCTGTATAAACATGTAGTGCCATCTAGGTGCAAAACGAGACATGAAATATGAATATTATAATATTGTTAGCCTACATGGAGAAAAAGTGGGATCTGTATTGAAGATAAGAGAAATAAACTTGCACATGCTATTTTCACGTGACCCATATTAAGAGACAGATTTTGCATCCGTGGAAATCGTAGGAGCCGTACGCGGAGGATTTTAATACATTATGATATATGAAAAATGTTTTTATTAAAATTTTTATTTTAAAGTAAATGTCAATGAATCGATTATATATGAATCAAATTCAATCATTTAATTTTTTAATAAAAGTGTGTAAATTTAAATACTTTCATAATTTGCTTTTGGGCCACACTTTAGACACCCATGTACTAAAGCTTACTGAAGTATGGGGTATATTAATTTATTCCGGAAAAATAAATTTCTATATATATATATATATTTGTTCCACTATTTCAGTGAGCCCACAAGCAGCTGACCAGATAAGTCACTGAACCCAGGTAATTCAACTCGGGAGTTTATATCTAGGCAAACAAATTGTCTGCATAGATGTTTCCGTGCTTTTACATGTATTACATGGGTATGAATCAGTTTCCATTTAAAAGTCCTTCAGAAAGGCATCCCTTATCTTTGACATATATCCGTTGTATACTTTATGATACTCAAATTAAAAAAAACCTGCCATTTTCGAAAAAGTTTTGATCACGATTTCAATTAATTGACATTGTAAAACATTTTATCACCCTTTTTCGTCTTTATTTTAATTGAGCTGAATACTTAAGAAAAAACTGGAAAAGGTCTATTGAAATTGTAATTAGGCACAGAATCAATAAGCAAACCTCATTCCCTAAAACTATGAGTTATTTGTTCTGCTAATAATCATTTTAAAACATTTTAGGTATGAGGTATTTTCATTCTGTTGAAATAGTAAGAATGGAAAAATTCCAGTGAAAACATAATTCAGCCTAGAATAAAAACTGAGATAAGTGGCATCAGAAGAAGTAGGCTGATCACCAAATTACTATGACTTGAAGATCGTATATTTATGTATTATAACCGTATACATAACCAAATATTATACCATAAAAGCCAACATATTTTCATAAGCCTATTTGAACATATGAAAGTAAAACATCTTATATAATTACAAAATCCCCCATTGATCACAAAAATTGGCGTAGATCCTGTCAAATGTGTGGCAGTCATTCTGGCAGAAATTTGAAAGAACTAATCACCCTGAATGAACAGCTA